CTTTCCCTAAATTAACCTCATTCCCTGTTCTCCCCGAACACCAAACATGCCACTGTGCCCCACTCCTACGCCCCAGCCGGAGGAGCTGGGGCTGGAGGAGAGCGCTCCTCTTGTTACACCTCTTTCAAGACCTCTGCTGTGGACAAAGCTTTTCTGCAGTGATGTCCAGGTCCAACACCATTCACAGGTTGGACCATGCCCAGGCAGAGTCCCACAATGCCATGGGCATTGGCCAACTGTGGGTCTGCCGCTGATGCCTCTTGCTGGCTCTCCTCCCTGCAGCCTACCACCACGGGGCATTGCAAAGGCCAAGAAGCCCATGGGAGGAGAAGATCTGAATGGGCAGCAGCCTGGGAGGTGCAAAAATCAGCCCCAACTGGAAGGCAAATACCAGCCTGGAGACCTCGCTGTGGGGAGGTGGTGCGGTGGAGACCTACCTGTACAACGCGGAGGCTGCTCTCTTCAGCCCTTTAGGTCTGTTGGGTTTAGGTTCCCCAGCCATGTTGATATCTGCAATGAAGGGACACGCAGCTATGACACGGCATGTCCACGGGCACTGGGAGCCATCTCCGATCACGGAGCAAGGGAGGCACAGCCCTACCATATGCAGAAACAAACTGCCCCACACCTCCCACCACATTTCCAGCTGCTTTCAGCATGTCTGGGGCCCTGCTGGACCTCCACAAGAAGGCAAATATATTCTTGCACTTGGCCAGCCTCTTCATTTTCCTTTACAAAGCTACTAACCATTTATTTTTGAAGTCAACGCCCTGCATGTGGTCTCCTTCCCCCTCCCCCCCACCCCAAGTTCAGGACAGGCTTCTCAGGAGAGCTCAGTGCTGTAGTGATAAGGCACGGACAATATAAAAACCCGCTGCATGCCGCTAACTGCTAACGATTTGTCCCTTGCTCCTTCCAGAACAGAAATGAATGCTAAGCACGAGCCAGCCAAGCATCGCTATGGACAGGGCTGCGATAAAAGCTGCCTGGGGTGATCACCCCAGCTGATCTCAGAGGAGCAACTTCTACCAGGGGAGGTGAGAATGAGTTCTTCTAATCTGCCAAGGAAAGTTCTCTCCTCGGACTCGGTGCCAAACGTGCTTTTGACGTGAGAATAAAGTGATGCAGCCAGTTCCATGGAAGCTGCTGAGAGCCTGGCAACCTAATGCTGAGGGTGGCCCCAGAACCACAGAGATGAGCTGTTGGCCCAGGAGCGAGAAAATTCCCTGCTGCCTTCTCTGATCAGCCCTGAACTTTTTCTGCTCTTCAGGTCCTTTCTTGTTTAAATTGGTGTTGGACCTCTGGGTAGGCCAGATCCGAGTGAAGCATGACAGGGTTTCCTTACCTAGCCCAAAAGCCCCGTTGGCCCTGGGCTAGAGAGGGGCTGCCCCACAGCACTGGGGCAGGTCCTTGTGCTAAACTGGTGGCACGAGTTACAGCCTCTGAGGTGCAGGTGGATTTGAAGGTCTCCATCAGGGGCGCAGGGGTTGTGGATCTGGGACTGCCAGCTGGGGTATTTAAGGTCTCACCTTTTCCGGACTTGCAGGATACGCCACGGAACTCAGCAGGTTTCAGCTTACTCATCGTGGCCTTTTTCAGGCTGCAAGAAGGGACTTCGTGGAGAAATGTGGACAGGCTGGTCTGCTTGCCATCATCAAAGTGCTGACTTCATTATTAACCACGAAAATCATCTTCAGGAGCACAAGGAAGCCACAGCACTGCTAAAACAACCTGAGCAGGAGGAGTACAGGCTGTGCACGTGGGACACGGCACTGGAGGAGCACGGACGTGCTCCCACTGCCCAAACGTCTTGCTGTGCAATTCCTCTAACTGCCTTTTAGGGTCCAGTGAGAGGCGTCAGTCCTACTGAAGCTGGAGCTCAGCCCATTCATAAGCTTGCACAAGGAGTGTGGTATCAGGGGGTCGCTCAGCCACTGCACTGAATGCTCCTCTGGAGGCACATTCGGGTCAGAGCATGTGCTTTCTCTGCTGCCTTTCACCCTCCATCCTCCCATACTCAGCTGCCAAGGGGAAGGCAGAAGAGCAGGGAGCCTGAACACTAGCAAGGACACGCACGGCCATAGGACAGGTCGGTAGACAACTGCTGCCAGTGTGGACATTAGCATGCAGTTGCCTTTCTGAGTCCATTGAGCAACGCAATGCTTCTGGCAATGCCATTTCCTGTAGAGGAGGAGAGGAATAAATGCTTCCTTGGTGTGTCCCAG